CATAGTAACTGGGAGATGATAAATGTTTATCATTTTAAGCCACTAGGTGTGGAGTCATTCGTCACACTGCAATAGATGAGTAACACACAGCACCTCCATCTTTTTCTAAGTCCCAACACCACTGTACTCTGTCAAGAGTGTTTTTCACCCTTGCTTTGGTTTGAACATGTTTCCTGTGGTATTGGAGTCAGACATCTCTTTTCCTGAATTGGTGTTTAAGAAATATGTGTGAGTTCTAAATGACAGAGTGGCTGTAAAAGAAAAACCCATTAGCCTGTGAGAAGCAAGCTGAGGAAAACATGGTTCATCTCGTTTAAGTTTCTAGGCAATGGTCTCAAATTAAGGAAGGGTAATGGTAAGTGAGTAAGGGAGTGTTTCCATGGAGGATTCTGCTTTACACACACACACACACACGCACACACACACTCTCACTCACACACACTTTTGGCCTCCCTGTCTTTTGCAGTGATACAAAAGTCCAATCCTTTTGAGGAACTGTCAGAATTCTCATAATTGTGTGATGGGAAATCCTAGGGAATGGGCAGGAGCAACATTGGGGATGCAGGCAGGATGCAAGGAGGATATAGAAGCGGCAGGACGTGACATCCAGTGGACAGGTAAAGGAAGGGGACGATGAAAAGACAGAAGAATGGTGTGAGTTCCCCAGTCACTCACCAAATACTTAATGAGCTCCAGGCCTCTGAAGATCCTAGTGTGGACCAGTAGCTTTCGGACCACGAAGCTTCTCCTCCTTAGCATCATCCACCTGCTCTCAGATGCAGCCGGCACTAGGGTTCAGGGATTTCCATGAGGATTCTCTCATGATGGGGACAGTACTCTGCTGCCTTGCATATATTTACCGAGGAACAACAGTCAAAGCAAGGATCCCTTTAGCTCAAGGGAGGGGAATGACCCCATCACCGCCTTGGGTCTTGCTAGGCAGCTACGGTGTGCCTGGTACCCAGTGCATGGCGTGATTCCCCGACTTCGGAAGATAAAGGGAGGAGAGGGTGGTAGCGCAGCCACACTGTGTTCTCTAGAGCAGCACCATCCAACAGAACTTTCTGCATTGTTTGGTGTCCGCACTGACTAGTACAGTAGCCATTAACCACATGTGGCTACTAAGCACTTGAAGTGTGGCTCATACCACTGAGGAACAGAATAGTTAATGTTACTTAGTTTTAATTGGAGTATAAATTTAGGTAGTCACATTCGGTAAGTGGCTTCTGAATGGACGGCATAGCTCTTAAGTCTTGTTTGGGGGTTATAAACAATCTCTCTAGAGATTTTTTTAAAAAAACTTTTAAATTAAGGTGCAGTTTACACCAAGTAAAATTCTCTTTTTAGTGCACAGTTCTACTTTTGTCTAATATGTATAGTCCTGTAATTGCCAGCATAATCATGATGCCCCCCCTCCCCCTGCCAAATGTCCTGCATGTCACTTTGCAGTCAACCTCTCCCTGGACCTCCAGCCCCTGGCAACCACCCATCTGTAGTTTTGCTTTTTTCCAGAATGTCATATAAATGAAATCATACATGGTCCACTGGAGATTCACCCATGTTGTTCTGTGTATGGGTATTTTGCTTCTATTTATTGCTACAAAGTATTCCATTGTATGGTTGTGCCACAGCTTGTTTATCCCTTCCCCAGCTGAGGTGCCTTTGGGGTGTTGGGTTGTTTCCAGTTTGGGGTGATAATGAATAAAGCCACTATAAGATTTGTATACAAGTTTTTATGTCAACATAACTTTTCATTTCACTTGGGTAAATACCTAGGAATGGGACTGGTAAGTGTAGTTTAACTTTATAAGAAACTGCCAAGCTGTTTTCAAAGTGGCAATACCATTGTGCATGGCATTAACAACGTAGGAGAGTTCTGGTGGCTCCCATTCTCACCAATGGTTGATATCATCAGCTTTGATTTTTAAGGGATGTTGTTAATAGGTGTGTTACTCTATTGTGGTTGTAATTTGCTCCCTAATAATTGATGATGTTGACCATCTTTTCATGTGCTATGTGTCACCCATATATCTTCTTTGGTGAAGTACCTGTTCACATCTTTTGCCTGCATTTCTTAATGGATTGTTTCTCTAGATATTTTATTGCCTCTTTAGCAATAATATTAAATAAATTGCCTCTTTAACACAGCTTTAAACATCACCTGCCAACACAGCATAGTTGTCTTGTGGATGGCTAAGTGCATTGGAGTTAGTTCTGTTCCTTTAGTTTCTGCTACCAACTCCCCAGGCTTCTGTCAAAGTGAGATCCTGGGTGCAGAGGGGTGCCAAGAGGTTGACTAGGTTCTCCCTTGAAAACTTTGTATTTTTCTCTTTTGGAGTGGATGCTTTGTGAGACAGCTTTAGCATGCCCTGTCGACTTGGAGGCAGTGAGAGAAGAATTCAGTTTCTCATATTTGGGTTGTTTAATGCCTTTTTAGTGGCCCTCTTATTTAACCTTCTCTGTGGAAGCTGTCACTATATCCAATGACTTACTGTGTAAGGAAAAAGGAATTGCAAATGACTAAATAGGTGTCCAGACTTGCCAAGGTTACTGTGAGTCAGCCCCGTGAGCTCCTTGTATTACTATTGTACAGTTTCTTGCTCCTTGGGAAAAGAATCATCTACGTTCCTCGGTTTGTGCACAATGCTTTACATTAAATATTAACTCAGGCCTGAGGTGCTTGGAAGTACATACCTGCCTCTTGTCATCGAACAGACCTGTCATTAAAAAGTCAGAAGTCACCTCAGATGAGTCAGAAGGAAGAACCTTGGAGGTTGTATGAAAATCAATCTCTCTCTCACTTTTTAAAATTGTGGTAAAATACATATAACATAAAATTTAGCATCTTAACCATTTTTAAGCCTGCAGTTCAGTGGCATTCAGCACGGTCACATTGTTGTCCAACCATCACCACCATCCACCTCCAGAACTTTTTCCTCTTCCCAAACTGGAACTCCAAACCCATTAAACACTCACTCCCTATCCCCCCACCCCCAGCCCCTGGCACTCTCTGTTCTACTTTCTGTCTCTAGGAATTTGACTACTCTAGGGACCTCACTTAAGTGGAATCATACAATATTTGTCTTTCCGTGACTGGCTTATTTCACGGAGCGTAATGTCTTCAAAGTTCATCCATGTTGCAGCAGGTGTAAAAACTTCCTTCCTTTTTAAGACTGAATAATGCTCCATTGTGTGTGTGTACAGCAAGTGTGGATGCGCACTTGGCTTGCTTCCACCCTTGGCTCCTGTGAATAGTGCTGCTATGAACATTGTGTGTGCAAATATCTCTTTCAGACACTGCTTTCAATTCTCTTGGGTGTACACCTATCACTGTTTTCCACTAGGCCACTCCATTTTACATTCCCACCAACAGAGTGTGTGTAAATCTCTGTATGAGATCAGCATTTCTTGAATCCTTCCCTGGGTCCGGTAGCTTCCAAACTGGCCTCCCACAGTCACTCCGGCTCCTTATAGGGTCCGCACGCTGCCAGAGTGATTGGATTTCAGACATGCATGCGTGTGGCTTTCCATTGCTCTTGGGATCAGACCTGATCCTCCCGACCCTCCTCGGCCCCTCCCTCCTTTTTGGCCTAACCTGGTTCAGCTGACTTGGCCGCTTGGCTCCACCCACAGTGGCCGTCTATCTGTCCACCCTTCAATGCCTGGGCTTCATTCTCCAGCCCCTGCGATCCCTCCTGGAACGCTGCCCCCACACTCCAGGCCCCGCCCGGATCCACTCAAGCACCTCTTGGACCTCAGGGAGGAGATCCCTGGACCCCTGGACGTCTCTTACAGTTTCTCCTAAAAATGTGTCCCAAACACTTACTTCGGTTTGCATCCAAGTATGCATGGATGTGAGATTGGATTAATGCCTATTTCTGCCCCAGACCGGAGGGGGTCAGCAGGGAAGCTTCCCACCCCAGGCAGGCCAAATCTCCCTCTGCACTCGCCTGTGCCACAGTCCCTCACGGGACTTACCACAGTTGTGATTTTACATTTATTAGAATGTCTTCTATTTGTGCCTGTATCTCCCACTTGACCGTAAGCTCCGCCAGGGCGGGAACTATGTCTACTTTCCCACCCTCAATAATGATTGAGGGAAATGTGGGAAACTTCACCCCCGTTTTAGGGGGACCTGAATTAGCAATGCATGACTGGGATACTGAAGTCCTAAAGGGATCCGGATGATGCCCAAATGTGTCATTCTGTGTTTTCAGCTAAGATCTCTCTCCCGGGCATCTGGAGCCCCGGGGCCTCGCGTGGGTCCAGCGTACTTGCGGAGCGGACGACGGCTCCAAAAAGGAATAGAGGGGACCAGGGGTCCATCGCGAGCACCCCTAGGCAAACTTGGTCTTCAGTTAGTGTGAAAAACCATTAATTTGGGTGCTTTAGGGTTGGGGGATGGAGCGACTCGGGCCCCGGAGACTGCTGAGGTCATATGTCCCTCTCTCCAGTGTCCCAGGACCAAAACTCTCTTGTTAGAAGTTTCTGGGGTCCCCCGACTCCACGCCAGGACGGAGGGGAGGGCAGCCTGCAGGCGCGGGTGAGGTGCCAGCCCCAGGGGCGCCCGGACCCCGTAGCACCCCCCGCGGGCCTCGCCCCCGCCCCGGCGCGCGCGCAGCCGGCGGGGCGCGTGGGGACTGGGCAGGCTCCGCTCCGCGCCGGCGCGATCCTGCCCGGGTTTCCGCGCCCACCCCGCGTCCCGGCCTCCCCGCCCCCTGCGCCGCCGCCGCCGCCGCCGCCGGAGGCCGCCCGGAGCTGCGCGAACATGGCCGAAGTCGGCGAGGACAGCGGCGCCCGCGCCCTGCTGGCGCTGCGCTCGGCGCCCTGCAGCCCCGTGCTGTGCGCCGCGGCCGCCGCCGCCGCTTTCCCCG